GGCAGCGAAGAAACATATATCATTTGAAAGCTTGTTTTATATTATAACATGAACAGATACTTTTCATTTTTTATTTGTCTCCGATTAATATGAAAGAGTGCCTAAAAATTTAACAATTCTATAAGGATACTGGCTACCCCGTCATAAGTTACATCATATATTAATATATTAGAGTGTGTGGCAGCTTATAACGTCAACTCAATCACTATGGCAAATGTCAAACAGTCCAGTCATGCATGATATTAGTGAAATCGTGGTGAACTTATTTTTTCTTGAAATAAAATGCCCACAATCTATTTACTAATGTAATTAAAGATGAACATAATAATTATCTCTGCTTTAGTTAAATATTGAATAGAATATATTTGATATTTTGACAACAAAATATAGTTATGATTTTATTTATATTTTAAGCATTTAACTGCTAGATGTTTAAATCTAAAGAAAAGTTTACTAGAAAAAAATCCACGCGGATCAGGCAGCGGACGGGACATGAACCCGCATCCTTCGCTCAGCGAACAGCGAATTTTCGGCTGCATTTGCAGACGTTAGCAGCCACCAACCCCCTTGGTGGGCCATGCCCAGTATATTCCATCCATAGCGAAGACCTGTGCCCGTGCGGTGGGGACATTCTCCCACTGCAGGGGTACAGGCCTTTCCGCCTTTAATGATAACTTGATGATGATGATATTCGTTGCAAATACATGTAGTACTTCAAATAAAATCGCTTCCGCCTTTGCCCTGAGCCATCGTAACATGAACTCTATAAGTTGCCCAAACGCATCAAATTCCTCATTCGGTCATTACCCCCTCATTACGGTTTAATTGTGCGTAAGAGTGCTTTCTTTCTTTCGCTAACTCTTAATTGCTTAGTTTATTGTCATATATCTCATGGTTATGTCAGCTCGTTAATATTAATGACTTTACCCAACTATCACGTATTCTTTACTGAATGTGAAATGTGGTGAAATGTGAGAAACTATCTATGATGATATGTTGATTTTTTTGGTAAGTAAATATTCATCATTTATGTGAAATGATGATGCTTTGCTCGATCACTAGATAATTTATCTAAGGAAAACTAACTGTAAATGCTTAAATAAAATATATTGAAATAATGCAAGAGATGGTCTTGTTTCTGCTATCTCAGTACCCTCCAATAAGTTCTGTAGTCCCTTCCAACAAAATCATCACCAAATGTACCTAAATGATTATTTCGTACGAAACCAAGTGACTGGATGTGTGATAATGATATATTTCATCAATAGATATCGAATTCATGAATGATAATTAATTACACTATATTATTTTACATAGCTATGAGATAGATGTAAATCAGGCTTCTAAAACGTAGTCCATCCACATAGGCAATTAGTAAGCAGTACATTATGCCACCACCAGGTCTGATTCAAAAAAATCTAAAAAAGAAGTAGACGCATGGAAAGACCTACAAGAAAAAACAGTAGATGAAGAAGCGTACTCTTTCCGATTTGCCCCCCTTGTAAATTAAATCATAACATATTTATTGCATTATAATTAAGGTTGCCTAGATTCTTACGGAAAACGTAACTCAAAATGCAATTTAAAAAAGAATATCGTATTCTAAGAAAAACCAGTAGATTAATATAGAAAAACAGAAGAACAGTAGAAATTTCAGACAAACAGGACATCTCCTGTAGAATCGGGAGACCTGGCAACCCTGGCCACCAGCAAAAAATCCATTTCAGTTTCCTGATCTACAAACTTTTCATAACACAAAAACATTTTATATCATTCATATAAAAATCAAATCTTTAGAAGTCTTATTTGTTTCTTAGGTTTTCACGCACATCACTCATTAAATAAAACTTTAACTTAAACTTAAACTTTATTTATTTATTGACGTTTCGTAGCCTAAACGTCAATAAATAAATAAAGTTTCGTGCATTAATCCGTAAAAACTAGTTTTATTTATCTTTAGAAGTCTTTCATTAATGAGATATAGCTACACTTCTGCTGTCTCGTGATTTACTTAAATTTTGCTGCAATATGTGTTTTCGCTAAACGGCTATTAAGCTTTATGGAAAATGTCAATGTTGTCTATAAAAGCCAATTTATCCGTGCCTTGAAAATTCTCAAATTATCTTGGTCAGATAAGAAATTGATAGACAATTACCTCTACGGCGTTAACATACCTACGTTATATCCATAATCACCCATACTCATATCTTAACTCAACTCGAAAAAAAGCATATTTACTGAAGCTAAATAAAATCACAAAAGCTATTGAAAAAAATAGGCGTCATTCATCTTCACATCAACCGCAACACTTTCACACCAATTCTGATTGAATTATCAGCAATCAAATTTGCTAAAAGATACGAAAATAGTACTTATGTGTACGCCAGAAGGCGAACGGAGAGTGTCAAAGATTTGAGGTACCCGCTATTCGAAAACCAAGTTTATGAGGACAAAGATAAGTTTGCAAATTGCATGTTGTCATTCTAAGGTAATACAGGGGCTTTCACTAAAACTAGTGCTGTCATAACGCAGGCATTGTTAGGCTTTATGAACGATGATCGCAGCATCGTTCGCTAATGATGTGCGTGGTCGCAATGGCAGCTGTTGGCGGTATAACGCAAGCGATAATGGGTCTATGGTTAAATGTAAAACAAGTCCTGAGAAAGTATACGTAAGATAGTCTACAAAAGGTGATTAATAAAATTTATGGCAACAAATAAACCGTAAAGGGTAGGCTCAGCCTTCATAATTATGTCCCTAATTAAATTATAATAAATGATGATGTATAGAATACATTTATAATTATACAAACAATATTTATTTTCGTCAAAAAACCCCCTACCCTGGCTCAAAACCAAGTCCTTTTCGAGTCACAAAGATTATATCAAGATCTTGATTTATTTCTGTGTTTGGAGCAGAAGACAGCTTCAGCCACCAACTCCACCAACTCCCCCAGAAATCTACTAGATATAAACTCCTTTATTTAAAAAATATATCTTAAAATTATGTTAGGTAATGGTGTCGATTCTGGCGTGATTCTCTAAACTTAAAACTAAATTTAACATCAGTCTCTCCTTTTCATTCTGTATAGAGAATGACAAGGATACACCGTTGTCAAATTTAAGTTTAGATTTAGAGAATCGTGCCAGAATTGACACCATTGAATATAGTAATTTTAGAAGCTTCGGGGATTGCCCGATTGTGAAGAACTGAGCACCCCACTGGTGGTGCAGGACCGATAGATGAAGAATCCTTGGGCATCTTACGGCTGATATGATGATGATTGAATTGCTTACTTTAAAGATTAATTTTGGTAGTTAAGATTGGCTTGCAATATCGTAAATATAACGCTGTCATAAGAACCCCACCCAAACCATCACCTATCTTAATTAACTCAGTGAGTTATTACAGCATTGGTGGATATTTACATTCCTTGAATACCACGCGTCAAATAGTTTAAACATTTTGTTCTGCAAAATAATGAGTTTTGCTCCCACAAACACTTTCATGTTATTTTACTATGCTTTAAGGCAATAATAATGGTTTATTCCTTTGGATAAATTAAAAATATATCAATTTATAATTATTAGGAACTGGAAAAAATTACTTCGTAAATGCTGCTATTATTATGCCTTATATTAAGTGATTCCCAAATGTACACAAGTAAACTTTATAAAGATCGATAATTTGGTGTTCTTTCATTTAGGCTTTTTTGCCTTCACAGCAATGCCAATGAACAAAATATGCAATGTGCATTTCTCGAACTTACGGATTCTAAACGACGAGTTTAATTAAATTTTGCGATAAAATAGAATGCTCAGCACAACTTTGTAGAATTGATGTCTGATTTCATATTTACTTCCCCTATTTAGCTTCCCCAATGGAATGAACGAGAAATATACCTTATAAAATCATCTATTTCCCTAAAAACGATTTGTATAACAATATTATACCGGCCGATAATTTTTGAGAGCAAAAAAAATAGGAAATGTTGAAACCCATATCATAGGCGCATTAGTAAAGAAATGTACTGCTATAGAGCCGGTCGAATTTTTCGTTTTTGGTAAGGTTGGCAAAGGAGGATAAATCGTATTGTAATGAGGGCTACCGTTTTCTGCCTCACCAGATGGCGCCACTGTTGAGTGAGGTCCTAAATTGTAACTTTTAAAGTTTATTAATACGCACATGAAATCAATGGTTACATTTAGATCGTGTTTTAACACAAAAGAACCATCTAAAGAAAATATAACTAGAAAAAATTCCACGCGGACCAGGCAGCAGACGGGACTCGAACCCGCACCCTTCGCAATCCGGGCGAATGCACTGACCAATTATGCTACCGCGGCCCTCACGGACCGCGTCGAAATTCTTTCTAGCTATTCTTAAGCTGCAGGGCAGCGCCATCTCTTCGCATTATAGGTAAACCCACAATGTTTTTTCTAGTTATATTTTCTTTAGATTTAAACATCAAGCAGTTACATGCTTTAAAAAAAATAATAAAAATTATAACAAAAGAACCATATCCTAAACATAATAGGCCATGCCACAGTGACGCGCAGTTCCGTTTTATTCGGAAAAAATGGGATCATAATCATTTTTCTAAGCTCAAATTTTTAATAACTGACATTCATTGCCACATAACTCATATTTGCCATAATTAAGCCGAATTGTTACCAATTATTCACAACATTATTTTAATTAGAAATAAACCCGCGTAGTCAACCAACAAGCAATAACATTTGACATTTCGGAGACCTCACGCTACACTAGCGCCTCTAGCGGCGGATTCATACGCGATAGCCCTCATTGGTACATGTGCCAAAAGGTCACCTCCTTCTCCTTCCCGACCTCAAATAGCCCGTAGTTTAAGTTTTTATCTTTTTTGAATATGTTATTTTGGTATAGGTTTCATCCTGTTCCAAATATTTTTCACTTTTTACGATAGTCAAAGGCATCTGCCTTGGCCTATATAGGGATTAACGTTGTATCTTCTTTTTCAGGATAAACAGCGTCCACCGATCTATAACCCGGAAGACTACGCTACTTCCCTGAAGAAATGGGGAAAGAAGACTGGTGCGGGGGCGTTGTACGAGGCCGACCCAGGGCAGGACCCGAACAAGGCCAGGACTCTCCCCAGCCAGGGCAGCAAGGACTTCAGGTCAGTTCAGGAACCCATCATTAGTCTATTAATGTCCCCACTGCTGAGTCACAGGCCTTGCCTATCGATGGTATACAGAGAATGGGCCATAACTCAACACACAATTAGTGTTTGCTAACGGTGTTGTTCCGGAGCTCCCGAATTCCAAGTTTCAGAAAACCAACATTTTTTTTGGATATCGTTCCTGCCATACCTGGTTTACCTTTGGTTTGCCGATGACATCAATTTCATTAAGAAACTGTACTGAACAATGTTTGGTTCTTTAGACAAAGTTCTCTTGTATTGTTGGTCGTCGTGGTTAAAATTTTTTTGGTAACTTATCAATCTACCGATATCAATTGTTTATCATTCGTAAAATCGTGATATGACATAGATTAATCACTATACATCCTTATTAATAAACGAAGAATAAGCTTAGACTAGTTACGCCATGTTTTGTTCATATCAATCAAGTGCCATTTGTAATTCAATGAACAGAGACAAAACATAGAGTAATTAATCCAAAGAAAAGTTTTACTAGAAAAACATCCACGCGGACCAGGCATAGGATGGGACTCGAACCCGCACCCTTCGCAATCCGGGCGAATGCACTGACCAATTATGCTACCACGGCCCTGATGGCCGCGTCGAAATTTTCCTAGCCTTAAGCTGCAAGGCAGCGCCATCTCTTCGCATTGTAGGTAACCCACAATGTCAAATGCGCGGCCATCAGGGCCGTGGTAGCATAATAGGTCAGTGCATTCGCCCGGATTGCGAAGGGTGCGGGTTCGAGTCCCGTCCGCTGCCTGGTCCGTGTGGATTTTTTTCTAGTAAAACTTTTCTTTAGATTTAAAACATCTAGCAGTTAAATTCTTAAAAAAAACGTAATTAATCCAAGCTTATTCGTCGTTTCTTAATAGGGGGGTATGATCAGATCTTAGCCTTTAGGAAAACAATTTTATATAACATCGATTAGTCGTGCTTCGGAAGGTACGTTAAGCCGTTGGCGCCGGCTGCATCTGCAGTCATTAGCACCCGCCAATCCGCACTGGGTATCCGTGGTAGGTCATGTCCAAATCTCACTATTCCATCCATAGGGAAATAGGGAAGGCCTGTGCCCCAGCAGTGGGGACATTAATAGTCTGATGATGAGTCGGTGGTGTGGTTACTAAAATAGATTGTAATCGAGACCCCCTGTGGTGTCGTCCAGTGGTGTCGAGGTCAATACATCTCGTAAGCACATAAAGGTCATGGTGGCGTCTTAAGACAAATGAATGAATTAATTGATTCATTTTTTCCTTTCCTTAGAAACCCATGTCTCGGCATCGGCGAAGAGATGACACTGCGTCAGTTTGGCTCAGCCAGCGAACTTCTCACCAAGCTTCGCGCTGATCTTCGGCTTTCCTTTCCCAGGTGAGTATCTTTAGATGATCAGTGTTTTAGTAGCTTATAAGACACAAATCACAAATCCTTGAACAAAAATCTCTAAATTATTGATAATTGTTTTTCATCTTCGAAACAAATAAGAACACTTTTCTTTCCCCCCAAGCAGTATCATAATCATAATCAAAATCATTTATTCAGTTCAGGCTGTTACAAGCACTCATGAATGTCTAGAAGCTACGCCATCGGTTCGTAAATCTACGGCGGGAGACCTTGTACTGAGAAGAACCGGCAAGAAACTCAGCAAGGGCTGTTTTTTTCTCCCTGTTTTATTATTTACAGTGTCGTCAAATCGAAAAATGACTTCAGAGGTGATTCATGAAGTCACCTTTTATTACATAATTATTAAATATACATTAATTGTTTACCTGCATTTTGATTGCTGTGTCATACAGTATAAATACTGTATCAGTATTTGTCAGTCTCAACTCAAATCTCTCTCAATCAGCGAAACAAAATCAAAATCAATAGTATTTTGACAGTTACTTGTTGATAAACCGCTGTAATATCTAGTTAAAGCGGTTCTGAAGTCAGTACCGACAACAAAGTCAAAAAAAATACGTATCCATTACTTTTTGATAATCAACCTGATAGACGAAGGAAAAAAAAATGTCCTTTTCCCTATTGTCTACAGCCTCTGCTTCACTATGGTTTCATTAGCTTTTGACAATATCAACGTAGATACAAGGTACCCAGTTAATAATGGAGCTATTACCGTAAAGATCTAGATCAAATTTAATGGTCATAGTCCATTAGGGACATGAGATATAATGAATAAGGCTTAAAGCGATAACTTGCTAGTTACATCGGAGATGATAAAATTGTAACAGAGTTTATGATCAACTCAATATCAGTCGTAAATAATCGCGCCAATTAACTTACTCTGAGTGCTTTCATCAGTTAACGCTTTACGTTTACTTTGTAAGCTAAATTATAGTAAAATTATGTGTTAATTGGAGCAAACTAAGCACATTATAGTACGTGGTAAATCTGCTCCTCCAAAGGGAAAGAAGAAGTAGACTATTTGCCCAAACCACTTCCTCGTCTTTGAAAGACCAGGGTTTTCGCTGGCCTGCTTGTTAATAAACGTTTATTAATATAACACTCACTTTTTCATACATTGGCATACTCACTAATAGAATAATGTCATTAAAAATCTATTGACAGCAAAATATTTAAAGTAAGAAAATTTTAACATGATATTGGTGGGGTAGGGCAAATAGGGTATTTGACAGTATTAAAAATAAAGTGCCAATTGTTAGCATCTGTATTTAGAATTAATATTGGCAGGAGTTTTTACTATTTTTACAGAAGAATTTTCATAATTTTGCTAAAAACCCATGATAAAGATATAACAGTTTTCTTGTCTATTGTCACGTGACCCAAAACGCTTGGGATTGGTGGAGCCTAAAATGACGTCTCACGCAAGTAAATTTCCGGTTAAAGTGACATTTGATTGTATCGTTTGACGTTTTAATGACAGTACTGTGACGTCACACACCAGTGCGACGCCATATTGTCCAGAGATACGTTTTTCGCGGCAACTTGAAAATAGAGTTTTTGATTTGTTTTTTTTACCGAAATACACAATATAATGATGAATATCCACTTTTTATGGACTCTATAAACCTTAGTAAATAACGTGAGATCGTTTTCTAAAACTAGTCAAATACCCCATTTGTCACGGAAAACGCTTTACGATTGTAGATTTTTTCATGAGAAATACTAATCAATAAAGTGATATTTACTTAAAATGTAATTAAAGGGTCATAAAAAATTTACTGCCTCACAATTCGTGATATTTTTATAGACAGACATGCAAGTCTAGACAAAAAGATTATCTTATAATTATATTAAAATAATCATTTTATAACAGCACTAGGTCCTAATTGCTGTGGGACGCTAGCTCAGATGACAGCTGCGATTAAATTCATTCTTTAGTGTGTGGCTAGGAGCACAGGAGGTAGCGACATAGTTCAAGATCTCACGACCGCCAGAGCTTACTTATTTTCTGATGGACAAAATATGGATAATCGAGAAGTATTTGCAATGAACTTATAACAGCAAAAGAGATAGACGCGGTCTTTAAGTTTTTATAAAAGTGATTTGTAGAGTAATTAAAAATAACGTGGAGTAGCTTTAACCTGGCAATAGATGTCAGATTTTATTCCTATTGTCAATAAAATATTCGTTATAAAATCTAAAGAAAGTTTACTAGAAAAAAATATTTAGATTAGACGTATTATCTTACTTAAGTACTTAATTGTAGATGGATTTATCCTTATTAAAACTTACAGCTCCCTTTGCATGGGGTCCAAACCGTATAATTTGTAATTATAAAAAAATACGCCACAACCACGGATTTCTCTGTAATGGCCCTGATGGTAATTCGAACTCGAAATGTGAGGCTGTGAGATAAGCGGTTTTGAAAAAAAACATGCTCACATAGAGATTTTTTTACGATTACTCTAATAGCTATAAGCACTATATATTTTTTTTAAGCAAGAATAAAAAATCAACCGCAAATTGTTTTCTAAATTAACTTCTCTGTCTAAAAATAAATATGCTTTGACGGTGCTTTAAATATATATTATATAGCAATCGTAAAAAAATCTTGAAGTGAACATGTTTGTTTAAAAAAACCGCTTATCTCACAGCCGCACATTACGAGTTTTTATGTTTTGAAATTGCCATCAGGGCTATTTCACAGAAGCGCGTGGTTGCGGCGTAATTTTTCTTTATACTCACAAATTATACGGTGGTGTCTCCACGTCATTCCTCTGTAATGGGATACCTGGACACTTATTTTCACATTTCACTTGGCGACAAAGCGGCGCCAAGTTTGCTTGTTCGTGTTGGGTAATGATGCTATGATCACCGAAACCAAATACTGGACTGTATACTTACCGATAGGGCTAGTAGGTGAGACAAGGATTTTCAAGGAGTAGCCAAAAAGAAAAAGCGCTTACCGTTACTGCGGTAGACAATTCCGCGTCGTAGGTGCCTGGTGGTTGCGCGGCCTTTCGGAAACGGGAGCCGCGACCATACCCGGCCCTCTGATCACGCACTAAACGAACCGCGGTCCTCATAGTGCGTGTCGGGTGAAGGTACAGGAGCATTGTCTGGTTTTTAGTGGCCCTGTTCAGGGCGTTACGTAGGGCCCTGTTTATTTCACCTGGCCAGAGGGCTGACTGTAATAAACAGGGAGGAGTCCCATATACCTTCTTCTCGCTCCCCCAGTGGTTGAAGGATGCGTAAGGCATTTCCAGACACAAAAAAAAGGTCCGCGTCATAGGTAGATAACCAGTAGCCTCTCGAATGTTTCTGCAGCACTTCAAATAGTCAAACAATTGATAATTGACATAATTGAAAACATTTGATAGGTGGCTATCTACCTACGAAGCTGAGCTTTCCATTCCATCGCAGTAAAGTTTTAATTGTTCATTTTATTTTGTTCAAAACTCTAACAGCAACTTAACAACCGTGAACGAATAAATCATCTCCGAACCTACTGCATGTAGCAATTTCTTAATTTTAAATAAAAACCTAATTTGCACGCTATTTCAAATGCATACCTATCTATAGATTTTGACACCTTTGTAACTATCTTAACCTCTTGTTGTCTTGTTCACCTTGATGATGGACATTCTTGTTCTAGGTATACGTTGATAGAGCAAAAGACTCGCACGCATGCTAACTTTTTGTTTACATTTTATTGTGCTTTAACTTTCTACATTTATTTATTAATAAAAACTAAAAAAAATGTTTCAGTTTTGTTCAAGAGTTTTCCTGCGAGCCGCTAGATGGCGTAACTTTACTACTGGAACTCTTGCGCAACGTGCAACTCAGCCAATCGGGAGAGGGTGCGCGTGGACCGCCCGCAGTCAGACGAAGACCATTGTTGGACGAGCTGGCTTGTTTGTGAGTAGCAGACCTGATTCCTAAGGAAAATATTGTCTATCTACTAATAAACAAAAAAACATGCCTAAATACATGGTAATCCATACTACTGACACTTATGGTGCTCCTCCGACTCACGCATCGTTTTGAGACGCTGGAGAAAAAAAGAAGAAATGATAGAATGAACCATTGGCACCATTAGATGGTTCTTGTTTCTGTGTTATAAAATGATATCTTTTAGCTAGTTCACATATTGTTTTTATATAATAAATCAAAGACTCAGGTTCACTATGGCGCAATGGTTAGTGCGTTCTATCAGCAATCGTGGTAGTTAAAATCTTTCGCAATGACCGGTCGTAGGATGGTGCAGATAAAAATATTATATCGTGCATATCTGTACATTAGAAGGCCCGATAAGCTTTTGATTCCGGCTGCATCTACGGTCGTTAGCACCCACAAAACCGCACAGGTTTATGATAACACTTATGGTCTATCTGTAGGGAAGGCTAGTGCCCCACCAGTGGCTGAAGATAATGATAGTTAACAAAATTTACCCACATATATTTACTACACTACATAAATATAATGTACATATGTAGTTCCCTTAATACGAAACAATATCTAATTCAAATTGTTGAATCCAATATCGATTAGCGTCAAAATCATGTCAATTAGTTTCGTATGGAAGAGTTATAATTCTCGTTACGTCCGCTGTGGTGCTGTTGAAATTTCCATACTTGTTGAAATTTGACGTGTATCGTGATCAAATTTAATTTCCGGAAACATAAACAGGTCTGTGTTGCAATACTGGAAACATCACTATGTTTTTTAGACTCTTTAAACACTTTTAAAGAAAAATGTTCTTTAATTCCAGGCAATGCCTGTGGAGTTGCTGCAGTAGGTACCCTGACTGCGTGAGGAGGTTGGTGGCGGGTTCCAACGGTGTGTACACACTGACAGCGTGCATCATGTCTACTGTCAACAAATCTAGGATACTTGCGTTACAGGTGAGATCTAAATTAAGCTCATTCTCCAAATGCACAATCAATATTAATCACTTCATGATCACGCATCAACATTGAACTCATTCAAATATGGTGGAGATCAAAATAGCTCATAATAATGAAAATACATACCTTCGAATATATCTCTGCTGTTAGTAAATTACGTTCCCACTCCTAAATCACAGAATTGATTTTAATAAAATTTGGTGTGGAAGTAAGGGAAAATTTCATAGAAGGACTCATAGAAGGAAAGGTTACTCTATGTCACTGATGAATGTTTGAAGAAAGTTTAATAATGAGTATTTCGAGGCCATCGAAGTCAATTTCTCCCACTAGACCACATAAGTAAAAAGCCAGAAAAATGAATACAAATCTTTATCTATAGGAAAATAATAAAATAAATGCAGTTGTAAAATTCTTTAAAAGACAGCAGTTCAATTTCAATCGGATGATTTATTTCAAGCGATATACTAACATTATTTAAAATTTCAGCTCCTCACAAAGGCTTGCTACCCACCAGCCAACGGGCACAGTACAGTCTCCGAATCGCTTTCCACCCTTCGACTGCGATATGGAGAACCAGTTCGCTTCAGATTCCTCGTGGGAATGCTTCAAAGCGTAGGAGGATCTGGAGACCTACAGTCTGCCGGTCTTGGGTTCATCAACGCCTTACTAATCAGCGCACCAACTCCCCAGAGAAAATTGTATATCCAAGCTGAGTTGGAACAGGCCGGATTTGACATTATCACATTGAAAAAAGTAAATATTATTATTATTGATTTGTAAAATTAATCACGAATGCCCATTAGTAACCGTACATTAAATACAGTTAATGATTTCTATCTAAGCAAAAAGAATTCCTCATAATACAATATTTGCCTAATCTTTAATATATGATATTGTCCGGGTTTTAAAATTTTAAAGGCTGCCTCTCCGCGTGGAATTTTTTTAGTAAGAAATTCTGAACATTTAGCAGTAAAATCAAAATATAACATTTTTTTTGTGATTATTCCAGATGATCAACAAATTGCCAAACAAAAATGAACAAGTGGCAACGGAAATAGAAAAATATGAAAAACAACTAATTGACATCGATACTTTAAGTGAGAAGGCAAACGAAGCGCTAAAAGAGAAGGATGACCTTAGACACAAATTAGAATTGCTGGAGAAAAGAGTTAAGATATTGCAAGAGGAAAAGGGTATTTTACTGTCCTTAGAGAAATGCCTCAAAGAGAAATGCTGCGAGTTACAAGAAGAGGTTTCATCACTGAGATCTGAACATGGGAATTCCAATAGAAAGAAGTCATTTGGAATGAAGAAAAAAAACTCAGTTCACCAAAATAGAGGTATGGAACTTTATTGCCAAAATTAATAACTATTTGCATGTTTATGAAATGCTACTAAATTCAGTTACTAATAAAAATAAATAAATAAGTAATAAATATTTCCAACACTCACCAGTTAGATTAGCCCCAAAGTAAACACTGTCAGGCCTGTGTAATGGAGTTCTAGGGTTACGTATAGAAGACATATACTTTGACGACCTCCGTGGCCAAGTGGTTTGCACGCCGGGTTTCATGGTATCGCCGACTCGAGAGGTCCCGGGTTCGAATCCCGGTGGGGGCAGATGTTTGTGTGATGAATACGAGCATTTGTACTCCAGTTATGGATGTATAATATGTATTTCTATATAAATATACTTATATACAGGGCGTTCCACGGCTACCTCACATGGAGGGAAAATATATTAAATATTGAAGATAGGACATTTTACCGAAAGAAGACATCATTTTATTTTTAATAATAACTAGAACTGCATTCACCGTTTTTTTTTAAATCTCCTGTTACAACTGGGAATCAAACTCATGAAATTTCGAAAAAAAAACACGACATATTTTAAGATAACCATCGAAAGGGTTAATCGTAAAGATTATGTTTTGCTTAATAACATAGCATTTTAAATGAAAGGAATGTCTTATTACGTGATAAAAATAATAAAGTGATATACAAATTGTAGTACGTATGCATTTCTTTTTGAATACAGTTACAATGCGATTGGCTGAAATTTGTAATAATATTTCGAAAATGGAACACATAAATTTTCAAGCCTGTGTTCTTTTGTTTTTCGTGAGTTTCATTTTCTTTTATTTGCAATTTTTTGTTAATTTACTTACCATGGCGCATCAAAATAAAATAGATTTAATGTAAGCTTACTTTATGAACCACAAAGACATATCATTAGCTTAGCGGTGGTACCGCAAAAGATATCCTGATAGAGACAAACCTTCTCGATATGTGTTTAAATAATGAAAGAAAGATAGAGAAAGAGAAAGATTTTTGATAAGGTAAGTAAATTAACAAAAAATTGCAAATTAATAAAAATGAAACACACAAAAAACAAAATGACAGACACTTGAAAATTGATGTGTTCCATTTTAGAATTATTATTATTACACATTTCTGCCAGTCGCATTGTAACTGTGAGCTCAAAAAGAAATGCATACGTACTACAGTTTGTATAACACTGTATTATTTTTATCACGTAATTCACATTCCTTTCATTTAAAATGCTATGTTATTTAGCAAAAAATAATCCTTATGATTAACCCTTTCGATGGTTATCATAAAATATGCCGAGTTATTTTTTTCGAAATTTCAAGAGTTTGATTCCCAGTTGCAGCAGGCGATTTATTAAAAAATGTGTGAATGCAGTTCTAGTTATAATTAAAAATAAAATGATGTCTTCTTTCAGTAAAATGAAATATATATTATATCTTTCAATATTTATTATACTTTCCCTCCGTGTGAGGTAGCCGTGGGACGCCCTGTATGTACAGTATATGTATTCTATCCGTTACCCTAGTATCCCATAACACAAGCCTTATAGTGCTTACTTTGGGGCTAGGCTAATTGGTGTGAGTGTTGGAAATATTTATTTATTTATACTGATATATAATAAACATCCATGACTTTGGTACAAATACTCAATTTTTTCTAGTTGGTTAAATCTAAGGTAAATTTTACTACAAAACATTCTACGCCATCCAAGTAGCAGGCGGGACTTGAACTCAGGCCCTTCACTCTCTGGGCGAATGCACTGACCTTTATTATAGTCCGCGTGGAATTTAAACTAGTAAAATGTTCTTAAGATTTAAACAAATGCTCGTATTCATCATACTAACATTTGCCCCACCGGGATTCGAACCCAGGACCTCTGAGTAGGTGACACCTTGAAACGTGGCGTATATACCACAGGCCAGGTCATCAAAATAATAATAGTAAACAATAATTTTATTATGTTGTCAGATGAATCATCTCCTCCAGAAGATGAAGGTATAAGTTCCTCGGAGAGATCATTGAGTCCTGAAGGTGACACGCAGCGCGATTCTATGGTATATGAAGTATTCAAAAATGAAACATATGATCTTATTCGAAACAAAAGGCCTTTACATAGAAAGTTAGAGTCCACTAAAAAGAATAATGACCACAAAAAATCATCCGATGAAGAAGATGAAACAACCATTGATGAAGTAATTCAAGAGCTTAGAAATATAGTTAATCATGCAGAAACAGAACAGTTCAAGAAAGACGAAGAAGTATATGCTGATGACCGTTCCTCGAGGTGCAATCAAACTTCAGAAATCAACGTTCCAGTGAAAACCTTAGAATGCAAGAAACATAAGGATATTGAAAAAGAAGACTCTATCACAAGCACAAGACACAGCATCCAAATCACTAGCAGTGGTGAATTTGCACACGAGAGTACTGAAGACGATGAAGAGACTGCAATAGTACCGAGTAAAATTCTGCCTCATCCACCAAGAAAAGCGAAGAGCTTAATTCACTTATTCAACCCACCGGCTGAACAAGGACTGTTGTGCAAACCAGCAGATTTATATGATGATAACTTTTATTCAAGTGACGAAGAATCTGATTCACTATTGAGTGCATCACGTTGCCAAAACCAACTCACTAAAAAACCTTCTGGCTCAAGTTTTGACTTCCGTGAATGTCGTGCAATATTCAACTCTTTGGCTGAAAATAATAAAACTGATCCAAGTAGAGGAAAACGTCAAAGGACCAGATCTAGAGATGAAACAAGAAAACCATCTATCAAGCGAAGCGAATCTTTTCAAACGTCTGAAAAAGGTTCACGTCAGCGTGAATATATTGATAGCATGTTCTATAATGAAACCCTTAACTCTGTCGGTTCGGCTGGACTTCAACGCTCTAATTCAAAATGCAGCCGAGTAGATGAAATAGTTAACTTAATTGAATCTAAAAAGCTAACGAAAAGTTTGGATAGAATCGATGAAGGCCTTAATTCGATGGTAGATATTGTGATGCTCGCTGAACCCAAAAAACCATCTTGGCCTTACGAGAGAAGGCAAAGATCTTGTTCAAGAACCAGCAGTGACGCTGGGAAAGAAACTCCTCTGGTCCCAGTCACGAGATCGAATAGCAGGCTCAACAGTTTCTATCAGAGATTTGATACTCGATCGTCCAGTAACAAAGGCAAAGATGACACCCCGAAAATGGATCCATCACAAAAATATTTCTTACCTCATTCGAAACTAAGCACCGGTTCTTTCGATAACCATAATGCATCATATAACGGTACTTTTCTGGTAAAACGTGGACACAGCAATGCGGGCTTTTACTCCGGCAATAATATAATGAGGGATGCACCCGCTAGTATGACAAGTCTTGTAATGACAGGGACTCATAGTCACGCTGATTTGAAAAGAACCCTATCCCCGATAGGTTCATCTAGTAATTTCGGGCTTCACAAAGTAACAGACATGCCTTCAGGACTATATTGATAAGCTCCTTACATATTATTTAATGTAAACCAACGACTAATTTAAGGAATTGTACCTAACTACATTGACTAGTGCAATAACCCACCAACCCGCATTGGGCCAGCGTGGTGGGTTCAAGGCCCCGTCTCCCCGTGTATAAAGGGGCTGGTCTGTGCCCATCTGTGGGACTTTATTTAGATTGATTAGTGCAATATTAAATATCTTCGAGGATTATGTTTGTAACAACCAGTTTTTAAAGATGCTTATTGCCGTTTCTCTATAATATCTGAATTATAAACTTCTTTAAAAGCTGTTTGTAATTATTTATGCGTGTTGATTTAAGATCTGTCGAATTATTAAAAGTATCTTGGTAATTTTGTACGTGAGCAAAATTGGCTTAAGATCACACCGTATAGTTTTGATTGCTGCCAGTTTTTGTTTTGGTTATTTACTTTTTATTTAGTTACATTTCGTTTATTTTTTAATTTCTTTTATTCATTCTTATTATTTTATGTGAATTTTCGTTTTTCATTGAAGTGTACTTTGTGCTTTATTTTATTTTTGTTTTTCTTCACGTCCGTGGCAATATTTATATTTAAATGTATAGTACTATTGTTTTTCTTCATAAAATCAACATTAAACTATACACCTATTACCTTTCGTATGTAAATATTGTATAACGTAAGCATAGACTGCAACTTTCGTAATAATGGTTATCGAAAATAAACTTTACATCAAATTTCTTTTATTTGTTTTATTTCAAAGATGTGTTCTTTAATGTTTTTTTCTTACGGTAAAAAAAATACAGTTTGTCATCGAATTAACAAAGCACGGCCTTTGTTTAAGAATAGAAACGCACAAACAACTTATTTATTTATTTAAACTTATCTGTATGAGTCACTTAATTTAAAAATAATTTACTTTATAACACTTATAAATTTCCAATAATATCATGCTATTACAAATATTTATCTTCAGATTCCCTCATTTGATCTAATATTTTCTTGTACAGAAGTGTCCTCACACCATTTCCCCAAATGAAATCCAGATGGCCAAAGGTTTCACTTGGTATACGATGACAAAGGACCAAATTAGGTAGTTTTCCGCATAGTTTTAAGACATCTTTGGGATAGACTAAGCTGTCCATTGTAGCATAGTAGATGTAGGCTGGTACTGTGATTCTGGATAAGTTGTAATCCGGAGGAGTAGCAGAACCGTATTGCAAGATATTTGTAAGTCGGTTGTGGTTGAAGCGCCGAAACGTGTCGAATCTAATGTTCTGGCCAAAGTGAGATATTTGACGAATGGAGGACCCTGCTGGTGCGTGTCCGAAGAAAACTGGTTGCATAGTCTGTAAAAAGTAAAACACATTTAAATTTGGACTGATGATCACAGGTCAGTTTACAGAGAATCTCCTGCTTTAATTCTAATATTTTGAAATAAACTAAATCCATATATCCGAAACAAACCTCATTGACGTAATCAGAAGATCCAGTAATACTTAAACCACCGCACATTGGTTCGAAGACAGATGCCTCCAGACAGTAGTTTCTGACAAACCACTCGACAAAATCCATGTTTGGGAATACTTCACCCATCCCCATTGCGAATGCTGTGGTCTGGAATTTTATAAATAAACAATTACACTTTCACTTTATTATTTATTTTGACGGAGTTATGAAACGCGTTCATTGATACATTATAAATTATCATATACAATCGTAATCAGAAGTCCAAAATCAGTTTTGAAATTTTAATAACGCTATACCCACCTCAAGTACAGTTTCCAGGGGAGCCAATGACCGGAATACTGCTTTATTATTATGAGTAAAGAATGAAGCGGGTGCCATGCCTTGGAATGAGATAAACTTCTCATTGTATTCAGGTCGCAAAGAGTTCAAAACCAAAAAGGCGGTTCCGCCTTGCGAGTGGCCTATGTAGTGGAGTTTGGGTTGCACAGTCTTAGCGAGAATGTAGTCGACGAATGCAGGTAGATCGTAGTTCCCTATCTGGTCCCAGCTAAACCTCCAGAACGCTTGGTTCAAGAAATTGTCCGGGTTTAGATTGAGGTGACGACGCGAATAGAAATTACCGCGAGCATTGCCCAACCACACGTCATAGCCCTCCTCAGCGAGGTAATATCCTGGAATTAAAAAACCTCTTAAGACATGAGCAAAATCAACAGACTTTATTTTAATTTGACGACGGTGGTAAATTATCCTGTTCTTTTTTAGAGGTAATTTACAGTTGGCAAAAATACCACTATAAGGGCGCTTGTTAACGAGACGATGTCTACCCGGGTCTGGCACGGTTTTAAACTGTGTCTACGTCCAGTCGTCAGTTAAGTATGGGACACTAAGGAGATTTAGGAGGAGTTTTTTCAACGACACCCGGCACTAGCAATAGTTAGAGGTTCTTACAAACGTACAAACCGTACTCGCGAACAAGTTTAGCCGGCAGGTAGAAGCCGGGTAAAAATTGTCTCGTTAACAAGCGCCCTAACTTGTTAATATGGATAAAGTTTTAATAGACAACATGTTAATATAAATTTTACTAGATTGAAATTAGAAAATATAGGTGAAGTTTAAAAACGGGATTTGATAAATGCTCATAAATCAATAGTACCTAATCTTAAAGGAAAAGTGTGGCTTCTAGAATTATACTGAATTGAATTACATATTAATACACAGTACCTACATGTAAAATACTACTTATAATTTTATCAGATCAGATTTATAGTAGTAAGCTACATAGATTTATAGTAGTAAGTCAAATATCAATAAATCAGTCTGCATCAAGTTATCTTGGTATTTACTTTTTAGATTGAAAATAATGCGGACATTTTACAAGGAAGATTAGCTTATCGTTTATTTTAATCGATTACGTCTAAAACTATACATATCTAATCTCGAAACGGAATTAATAAATTGTCTAAACATGTGGTTGAGCGAGATGTTACTCTAGTTAGTTCAGTGAATTGGAAGTTTAAGTTAAACCATTTAAACAAAGAAATTAACCGAAGACTTCATGAGCTGTTTTCAAGTAATTTGACATTCAAATTACCACATACATTACAGCCTTAATTTTTAAATTATTGAGAGTGTCCTCCATCACCGTTTTAAACATCTAGCAGTTAAATGCTTAAAAATATAACTTTAATAGGTATTTCTTGTTTCAAATGTTTAATACTTGTAAAGGTATTCATTTGACATTGTGGGCTACCTACAAAGCGAAGAGATGGCGCTGCCTTGCATTCTCCCGGATAGCGAAGGGTGCGCGTCCGCTGGTCCGCGTGGAATTTTTTCTAGTAATACTTTCTTTCGATACAATTTAATTTATGAATAAAAAAGACAACCAAGAGTCGGACTCGCCCACCGAGGGTTCCGTACAAATTTGTGTACACAGCATAAACGGCCGTATCTTTTTACCCGGCTGCGCAATGCAAGAGCGCGAAGCGCGACGCGCAGACAGGGTTATGTGTTTAACAGTCTATATATGTATGTTTGTTCCTTTGTGGCACACTAGAGACCAAACGCCTGGACCGATTTTGATGATTCATACATCAATCAATTCGTCTCAATCATGGGAGTGCTACTAAAGATATGATAGTAATCAAAATTCAATATGGGCAAAATTAGGCGCCATATTGTGACGAAGTAAAAAAAATAAGTTTCCAAAATATGTCGAGTGGGGTATCACTATCTAGATAATTAAAAACCATATTTAGGTTCCTAACACCATTTTTCATTTTATATGATTGTTTAGGATCTACAACGCTTTAAAGTTGTATATTAACCACTTACGCTTTTAATTTCAATCTTACGTTTGTATGGATCTTTGTTACTCTTTCACCTAAAAAATACTGAATGGATTTTGATGAAACTTAACAGTAATATAGCTCATATATGATAATTACATATATATAATAATTTATGTAGTTATTGAGTGAATTGGCCAATATATAACAATAAGTGTCACATAAGACGAAAAAAAATCTCCCATCTGCGAGCCATTTTGGCCTGCACTGCAAAAACAATAAAAGTTACATGAATGTAATGTAGAGTGAAAATGTATCTCTTAAATAGTTCTAAAAAAAAGTCCGTGACACTATATATCTATTTTTAATGTGTAAGTCATTACCGCTAAAATAGTGAATCAAAACTAAAATATTATTTGATATCTATTTCCAAAATGCACATTTTGTATTAACAAATCATTTTTTATAATTTTTATTATTTTAAAGCATGTATTTTCTTCGTTAATATTTTATTATTAAATGGGTGATTCTGTTAAAAAGTTGTGCCAAGATTGTTTACCTTAGTAATGCAATATAGGCGACCATAGGTATTTATCAACATAAAAATAGAACTAGGTACCTTAGTTAATAATATTTATTACTAGTATTTATATTATATTTATAAAAAGATTATTTCTGAAATTATCTAAAGATAGTTTATACTCTCATCCCATGTAATATCTGTTTATTTTTATGAAAATCATAATGATAACCAGGTACCTACATACCTAATTACTGTTAGTAAAATATAGAAACAGGTAAATGGAAAGACTGAACATTTCATTTGAAAAGAAATCTATCATTACTTACTACAGGTAAAATCAATATGAATATAAGCATTTATTATTTTTATTATAAATTGCATTTTATGTTCATTTAATGCATATTATTTAAGTGCTTACATAGGGGTAAACACTAAATCTATTCAGAATATATAAAGTGTACATCTTTTATGATTAAGTATAATAATTATAACCTCAAAATCTAATACATTCTGTAGTAGGCCACGGTTCCTCAAGTTGTCCGTATCTCAACAAATGCTTATTTAGAGTTTATGAATGATTCCGAACACAACTAGCATTTTCTCATTGCTGGGCGATCTAGGGCATTCAATGTATGGGGAACGAGCAATGTCCTTTCAAGTTCATTCCTTTACGCGTTCCCAAGATAAAGATCTGCCTGTCAAGATGAAAAAACAAATTGATCCTATAAAGGTTCTGTTTTATTTCCTTTTGAGGTATGAAACCCTTTTCTTTTCTGGAAAATGCCTATCGCATCCCTCATCCACTAGGGAAGCGAGAAGAAGGTATATGGGACTTCTCCCTATTCACTTCAAAGAGCCCTAGGGTTCGCTGAAATGAACAGGACCAGTAAAAACCAGACAATACTCGAGGACCGCGGTCCCCCGAGTTCGTGCCGAGAGTGGCGGTGAAGCGCGGTAATCCGTTGCCGAATGTCAGCACAAGGTATCGCACGCTAAGTTATCTGCTATCTTCGCGTCTGGACTTAACATGAAGTCATTTGTCGGACCTATCAATAAAATAAAAGTTTGGTATTATTTTTCTGCTCATCTTACCCAAAGCATTCCCTGGTCCAAGTACTAGGAAGTCAGCCGAGGAAGACACAAGTCCATGCATGATAAAAACGACGGGCTTGTTCGCGTCTGGCTCATTGTTACGCTCCTTCCCATGGGGGATTCTGTGCATTGTCAAGATGTACCCATCTGCGGTTGTGACTTCATGAATTTCGATGGGGTAGCCATACCTGGCCACCAAACCTGGCTGGAGAAAAAGAAAAAACATGTTATTGATATTTAATAGTCAAATTAATTCATTTAAAAATACTTGAATTTTAAACTGTTTCTTTAAGGACGATTTCTCTGTAGCTATGAGAGTGTTAGCTGATTTTTAATACCAGTATTTTGAGGGCTTTTATTTGTATTGGCTTTTTTATGAACATAAATTGGTTGTCAAATATTTCCATTCCCTATCTGTGTTGTTGATAAGTTGTTTTTTATACGTCCTATATCGTAATAAATGTGTCTTCATAACACTAAACAGCCCCTGTTTCCGTAAAAGATACCGATGAGTCCACAACATTAACAACACTCAATAGGCTATTTGGCAATATGAAAAATAATTACTAATTATTGGCAATCATGAAATAGAAGAGTATATTTTGATCTATTGTTACGTGACCGAAAACATCTAAGATTGGGGGAGCCTAAAATGGCGTCTCCTGCTTGTAAACATTCGGTCGAAGTGACATTACTTTGTACTGTTTGAAGTTTTAACGAGATACAAGTTTTTATGACGTCACCTGCCTATAATCCATATTTGCTAGAGAAACGTTTCCGTGGCATATTTGGAAAAATGTTTTTTATTTTCGTTTTTTTTACTGGCGTACGCAACAAAATTATCAAATATCTACTTTATATGGAGTCACTATGCATTAACGTTTTAAAAATCTTGTGAAATAACCTGTTGTAAAACAAAATTATAGTATCATACAAAATCATATTATTAACCTTCACACTACCCATCCCTTACGGGCTTGACAAAGCAAAGGCTATAAAAGTCATTTCCAAATTTACACCTCAACGATGCCACTTTTGGTAGTCAGGCCAAAGACGGTCTACAGAAATAACGAGAACCACTGAAAGAGGTAAATCACCACAGCATATTCGTAACTACAAATCACAATCATCATCTCAGTATTACTAGACAACGGCTAACTGGCAAAATTTTTTTTTTTACCCGGCTGCGCAATGCAAGAGCGCGAAGCGCGACGCGCAGACAGGGTTATGTGTTTAACAGTCTATATATGTATGTTTGTTCCTTTGTGGCACACTAGAGACCAAACTCCTGGACCGATTTTGATGATTTATACATCAATCGATTCGTCTCAATCATGGGAGTGCTACTAAAGATATGATAGTAATCAAAATTCAATATGGGCAAAATTAGACGCCATATTGTGACGAAGTAAAAAAAATAAGTTGACTAAATATGTCGAGTAGAGTATCACTGTCTAGAAAATCAAAAATCATATTTAGGTTCCTAACATCATTTTTCATTTTATATGATTGTTTAGGATCTACAACGCTTTAAAGTTGTATATTAACCACTTACGCTTTTAATTTCAATCTTACGTTTGTATGGATCTTTGTTACTCTTTCACCTTAAAAAATACTGAATGGATTTTGATGAAACTTAACAGTAATATAGCTCATATATGATAATTACATATATATAATAATTTATGTAGTTATTGAGTGAATTGGGCAATATATAACAATAAGTGTCACATAAGACGGAAAAAAATCTCCCACCTGCGAGCCATTTTGGCCTGCACTGCAAAAACAATAAAAGTTACATGAATGTAATATAGAGTGAAAATGTATCTCTTGAATAGTTCTAAAAAAAAGTCCGTGAGACTATATATCTATTTTTAATGTGTAAGTCATTACCGCTAAAATAGTGAATCAAAACTAAAATATTATTAGATATCTATTTCCAAAATGCACATTTTGTATTAACAAATCATTTTTTATCAAAACAAATACTTTTATCGCTTTTGATATTTAAAGACGATAAACTTTGCTTTTTACACTATGTCATTTCGACAAATATTTAAAAAGTTACAACGATGACAAAGTGATAGCGCGGTGTACTATGTAAAAGAAAAAAAAAATGGGGTATTCGCAGTATCTGATCCTATACGAAGTACTAACAATAAAACTGTGATACAGTTCCTTCTTATTAAATGATGAAAAAAAATATTATAATAATAGGTATTTATGATTATTGAATTTTAATGAAAAACTCAGAATTTTACTGTTTTTCATTTTTTTAAACGATATTACTCAATGTTACAAAAAAGGTTTACTTAATATAATGACAAATAACCCATTTTTCGCTAGTAAGTACATACTTATTGGAATCCCTGTATTTATTAATTAGCTCGCGATAATATTGGTTTTGTAATAATTCTGCAAAATTCAAAGTAAATAATGTAGATCTTTATAGGTAAATCACCCCTTTCATCACCCTACGCCTATAAGTATTGCGATGTTGTAGCTAAGAACCAAGTTCCCATCTACTTCTATATGGGAATTCATTGTATTCGGTTTAGCTATTAGGGCACGGAAGCGCAACAAACAAACTCACTTTCGCATCTATAATATTATATTATACTTACTAGTGATCCACCCGGGCATTGTACGGGCGAAATTTATTTATCGGGATAAAATATAGCCTATGTCACTCGGACAAAATGTATTTAAATAAAAAAAAATGTTATAATAAATAATGTAGCTACCTTATGTTGAATTAATATTTGAAACCGGTTCAGTAGTTTGACAGATTATTTGTTACAAACATACAAATCTTGCTTCTTTATAATATTAGTATAGATAGTTAGGATAAGTATTTAATTGATGAAAAAGATTTAAAAATAAAGTAAGTAATAGGTTTATTTGATTATATTTGTAAAAGTTACTTAGCATTTGTGCTTAACAGTGATAGATTATTCGGTATTTTTATAAACAAAAAAAAAATTTGGAAAATAATTGCCATGATTGCACTACTGGGAGTACTCTTCATTCGAGCTTTACACTACCAATAAAAAAAAGGTAAATTTAAAAAATCAAAAAACCCGACTGCTTAATTATACTTCAAATAAAAACTGAAAAGAGAAAAACAAGTCCAGTAGTCTATAATTCTGTTAATAAGGAACAAAGCTACTTTAACAGTCGGGACCCACTGTTGAAAAATATTATGTATTCTTGAATATCTAATGGGTCCCGACTGTTAAAGTAGCTTTGTTCCTTATTAACAGAATTATAGACTACTGGACTTGTTTTTCTCTTTTCAGTTTTTATTTGAAGTATAATTATGCAGTCGGGTTTTTTGATTTTTTAAATTTACCTTTTTTATTTCACACTTTTTAGTTAGTTAGTATTTTAAGACGGTATATACCGTAGTCTTGTTACTTCAGTATGAGAATTAATATCGCGGGAATTATTAAGTACCTGGCGTCAGCGTCGGTCTAAAAGATTGATTTATTAAGACATATAAAGACTTTATCAGCGGGGTCAAGGCTACAGATGGGCCTCATTTTTCACAAAAATGGGTGAAGTTAAATCAAGTCGTTACATAAATATCTCTTATGTATGTAAATTTTATAGTAAACTAACTAGCACTTACTCAAAAAGTCATTTTTTGTTTATGTTTTTTTTAATAGTTTAGCAGTAAATATAAAATTCATTTACTTTTATTCGTCGACTATTTAAAATTGGCAGTGGCTGCATTGTCATGTCAATGCCGGACGTCTAAGATTGTGATATACACAAATTCAGTGTCAGTCCCTAGTCTCATAATTTGATGAACCTACATAATTCACAGAAACCCAATATGTAGATGCCAGAAGTTAACTTCAAATGTTTTTAATCACCCTATATACAATACCAATCAATGACGTTTATGTCGCAGGTTGAAGAAAGCAGTAATTCCCGTCTGTTGTTTTGGACAATGGTGGCAATTGCCTTAGATCACTAAATTAAATAATTATGCAATCACCAAAGCAAAGTTTATAATATTTGATTAAACTAAAGGCGCATAATAAAATTTTCATAAAGTTAGGTAGAGCACCATAGCAATCTCATTTATTATCAATTTATAGTTCTCTTTGTAGTTTTCTTTTAAAGCGTTCACATTTAACAGGTCAAAGACTTTGTGTTCGACCCTTTTTTATTGGTAGTGTAAAGCTCGAATGAAGAGTACTCCCAGTAGTGCAATCATGGCAATTATTTTCCAAATTTTTTTTTGTTTATAAAAATACCGAATAACGTATCACTGTTAAGCACAAATGCTAAGTAACTTTTACAAATATAATCAAATAAACCTATTTTTAAACCTTTTTCATCAATTAAATACTTATCCTAACTATCTATACTAATATTATAAAGAAGCAAGATTTGTATGTTTGTAACAAATAATCTGTCAAACTACTGAACCGGTTTCAAATATTAATTCAACATAAGGTAGCTACATTATTTATTATAACTTTTCTTTATTTAAATACATTTTGTCCGAGTGACATAGGCTATATTTTATCCCAATAAATAAATTTCGCCCGTACAATGCCCGGGTGGATCACTAGTAAGTATAATATAATATTAAAGATGCGAAAGTGAGTTTGTTTGTTGCGCTTCCGTGCCCTAATAGCTAAACCGAATACAATGAATTCCCATATAGAAGTAGATGGGAACTTGGTTCTTAGCTACAACATCGCAATACTTATAGGCGTAGGGTGATGAAAGGGGTGATTTACCTATAAAAATCTACATTATTTACTTTGAATTTTGCAGAATTATTACAAAACCAATATTATCGCGAGCTAATTAATAAATACAGGGATTCCAATAAGTATGTACTTACTAGCGAAAAATGGGTTATTTGTCATTATATTAAGTAAACCTTTTTTGTAACATTGAGTAATATCGTTTAAAAAAATGAAAAACAGTAAAATTCTGAGTTTTTCATTAAAATTCAATAATCATAAATACCTATTATTATAATATTTTTTTTCATCATTTAATAAGAAGGAACTGTATCACAGTTTTATTGTTAGTACTTCGTATAGGATCAGATACTGCGAATACCCCATTTTTTTTTTTCTTTTACATAGTACACCGCGCTATCACTTAGTCATCGTTGTAACTTTTTAAATATTTGTCGAAATGACATAGTGTAAAAAGCAAAGTTTATCGTCTTTAAATATCAAAAGCGATAAAAGTATTTGTTTTGATAAAAAATGATTTGTTAATACAAAATGTGCATTTTGGAAATAGATATCTAATAATATTTTAGTTTTGATTCACTATTTTAGCGGTAATGACTTACACATTAAAAATAGATATATAGTGTCACGGACTTTTTTTTAGAACTATTCAATAGATACATTTTCACTCTATATTACATTCATGTAACTTTTATTGTTTTTGCAGTGCAGGCCAAAATGGCTCGCAGGTGGGAGATTTTTTTCCGTCTTATGTGACACTTATTGTTATATATTGCCCAATTCACTCAATAACTACATAAATTATTATATATATGTAATTATCATATATGAGCTATATTACTGTTAAGTTTCATCAAAATCCATTCAGTATTTTTTAAGGTGAAAGAGTAACAAAGATCCATACAAACGTAAGATTGAAATTAAAAGCGTAAGTGGTTAATATACAACTTTAAAGCGTTGTAGATCCTAAACAATCATATAAAATGAAAAATGATGTTAGGAACCTAAATATGATTTTTGATTTTCTAGACAGTGATACCCCACTCGACATATTTAGTCAATTTATTTTTTTTACTTCGTCACAATATGGCGTCTAATTTTGCCCATATTGAATTTTGATTACTATCATATCTTTAGTAGCACTCCCATGATTGAGACGAATCGATTGATGTATGAATCATCAAAATCGGTCCAGGCGTTTGGTCTCTAGTGTGCCACAAAGGAACAAACATACATATATAGACTGTTAAACACATAACCCTGTCTGCGCGTCGCGCTTCGCGCTCTTGCATTGCGCAGCCGGGTAAAAAGGGTCGAACACAAAGTCTTTGACCTGTTAAATGTGAACGCTTTAAAAGAAAACTACAAAGAGAACTATAAATTGATAATAAATGAGATTGCTATGGTGCTCTACCTAACTTTATGAAAATTTTATTATGCGCCTTTAGTTTAATCAAATATTATACACTTTGCTTTGGTGATTGCATAATTATTTAATTTAGTGATCTAAGGCAATTGCCACCATTGTCCAAAACAACAGACGGGAATTACTGCTTTCTTCAACCTGCGACATAAACGTCATTGATTGGTATTGTATATAGGGTGATTAAAAACATTTGAAGTTAACTTCTGGCATCTACATATTGGGTTTCTCTGAATTATGTAGGTTCATCAAATTATGAGACTAGGGACTGACACTGAATTTGTGTATATCACAATCTTAGACGTCCGGCATTGACATGACAATGCAGCCACTGCCAATTTTAAATAGTCGACGAATAAAAGTAAATGAATTTTATATTTACTGCTAAACTATTAAAAAAAAAACATAAACAAAAAATGACTTTTTGAGTAAGTGCTAGTTAGTTTACTATAAAATTTACATACATAAGAGATATTTATGTAACGACTTGATTTAACTTCACCCATTTTTGTGAAAAATGAGGCCCATCTGTAGCCTTGACCCCGCTGATAAAGTCTTTATATGTCTTAATAAATCAATCTTTTAGACCGACGCTGACGCCAGGTACTTAATAATTCCCGCGATATTAATTCTCATACTGAAGTAACAAGACTACGGTATATACCGTCTTAAAATACTAACTAACTAAAAAGTGTGAAATAAAAAAGGTAAATTTAAAAAATCAAAAAACCCGACTGCTTAATTATACTTCAAATAAAAACTGAAAAGAGAAAAACAAGTCCAGTAGTCTATAATTCTGTTAATAAGGAACAAAGCTACTTTAACAGTCGGGACCCATTAGATATTCAAGAATACATAATATTTTTCAACAGTGGGTCCCGACTGTTAAAGTAGCTTTGTTCCTTATTAACAGAATTATAGACTACTGGACTTGTTTTTCTCTTTTCAGTTTTTATTTGAAGTATAATTAAGCAGTCGGGTTTTTTGATTTTTTAAATTTACCTTTTTTAAGTATTGCACTTTTTGGTAGTTTTCTGCAACCCATTTAATTATAATGTTTCGGTTGAAACGATGCATTTATATAATGATACTAATATCTTCTGAATTTTAGGATTTCTAAGCAATACAGTTATGTGATAGGACGCATATAACACCTTGCAATCTGATATTTATGTAAATTGGTTCCACTATTCTATAATGAGTAAGAGCGATATGGCACAACAAATTCACTGCACGTATTGGAGCGCTCTAGAAAAAGAAATTCCAACTTTCGACAAAATACAGATAGCCATAGTTGTGCTGTAAGTACGGTTGCTAAATTTCCATAGACGGTAGTGGCTTGTTCTAACCAAACAGACCACTTGTTTAGTTGCCATCGTCATTACATAGAAAGTAACATCAAACTTACCACATCCAATTTCGCATCTATGAGTATATCTGTAGAGTACCTAGCTCCAGGAACTTCGAATACTCTTTCAATAAAGTCCGCGTTGGGGGATCTGCCTGACAATGCCACCCCAGCCAACGCACTCAATAATAACAAGGTGAACATATTGCGTGTACGTATCGACAGGTGTAACAACACACTGTTTACAAAAGATGCGCAAAATCCAGCTTTTGTTCTGTCGCATGGGCCGGTTACACTATTTGCTGAAATATTGTTTTAGCAATAGTTACATACTTGGTTAAAATTATGTTTTTTCTTTGATATCTTCTTTAAGTAGAGGGTATTTCAAGAGTACTTGTCTGAGGAAGTAACTTCACCAAGTAAGAGGAATTGGGTTCGGATAAGAAAGATAGGCTACTTTGAAGCGTCATGTTTCTTGCCACATCAGTTTTTTTTACAACTGGACTTTGCTCATTATCAGCTTCAGGTGGGGCATATTAATTTGCTGGAACCTTAGGTTTATAAATTAAGAATACCTCTGATGCAGCAAAGTCGTTAAAGGCTAGCAAAAAATCAACTCTAATGACAGGCAACAATTTCACACGTATACATGTTTTTTTTTGGGTAGTATGTTTTTGACACAGTATTTGATAGTAAACTGTTCTTTGTATACGTAAGATGCAAAATCACTTCAAACTAAAAAAAATCTACGATTTAAGATGTGTTTAACAGTTACTAAAGTTTCCTAAAATTTTAACTCCCCGTTTATTCGGCAGAACCGGTCGCATATATTAATCAATTACAACGCTTCTAATCGATTGATAAAATATCAAAAATTAACCATTTTGTTTTTGATCGATGGGTTTTTAATTTCCCTATGTCATGATGGATGACCTACGTAGGCAAGTGGTTGACACTTAGAATTTGACGTAAATGTCTGAAGGTCAAATTAGGTCAATGCAAAAACCTAACGAACTTCTGGTTATGTTTTCAGTTGTGGCAAAGATATACCACATGTAGGGGAGCCCAAGCGGGGATTTTCGGATTTACTCGAGCGCGGCAGATTAATATATGGGGGGCAACCTTGCCCCTTCTGAAGTACTCCTACCATACCTAAGCCGTCCATGTAGTGACGAACGGGAGCAAAAAAAAAACAAACTTGCTGGCCACGACTTTACCAATTTCTTACTATTTCCTACAGCTTCAACATCCAGCTTCATCCTCTTTCTCTTTTCTGCTGCTGTCATGACTGCGTCATTCTTTCAAGCATTTATTGAAAGTCTTTTTTAATAAAAGTCCAAGATCCTGGTTACCCCAGATTTGCGTGATTTTAGGAAAAAAACATTTTAGGAGTGGTAGTATAATATAATTTTACAAATGAATGGATAGGTATCCATTCATTTTATACCACCTTTCATACCAGCTACCTTAGACAAAACCAGTATTTGTTTATTCATTTGTTTCCAAGTTCATGTTATACCAGTGCTCCTAATAATTTAGTATTTCCTATTATCACGTAAATCTGAGGTTACTGCGATCTCATTGTAATATAAACCATCCGTGATAAAAATGAATTTTAGATCATCGCCGATACACAACAGACAGATGTAGCCGGGACCTCTAATTTTATAATAGTTGTAGAATCGGGATCAATCTTGGATTCATTCAATTTCGGATAACAAAGTATTTAATGCAACACAAGTAAACAGGTACATGCATTCCCAAACACGAATGACATATTTTTTTAGCCACCCATTCAGTGACTAACTTTTTCTAAAGATTATTTTCTAGATTCTGGTCAACAGCGCTCTGCACCGTTGGTCATTGCATCTTTCATTAGGCAATATTATTCAACAAAATGTTAATAATAAATAGAGTGATTAATACACAATAATTTATTTTCAAAGTGCACAAAACATTGTTATAATAAATCTATAAGTTAAATCTAATTTATTATCAGATACTGTAGATATTGGCTACATACAAATACTTTTGCATATTGTTAAAGCTTAGAAATTACAATAGTCATCATTAAAAAGTAGAACATCCGTTTAAAGCTATACCAATTGATAGTGTCATAGTATCTCTTATCTATTAGACAAGTCCGTCCGTCCGTCCGTGGTGCTGTTTCAGCGGCCAAACCGTAAGAGATAGTTATAGAGAATGTTTAAGTTATAAGTTAAGAATAGTCTGATAAGACTACAAACCGGATGTGAGTAACTTAGCACTTCCGGTTTTCGAGAAATCACGTGGTTTCTATTTCAAACGAAACCACACAAAATCTCCGAAGTTCTCAATTAATTAAATACATTTTTTTTTTGGTGAACATTTGGTTCACTGGTTTGCTAGTTATCACTAATAAGTGAACTGTTGTAATTTTCATAAAAATTTTGTGCCGTAGACAAGTGATTTGAAATCTTTCCTATTCTTTGAACGTTGACGCCAACTTAAATTTATGAAAATAAAGGAGGCAATTTTGAATCATATTAATATATAATGCATTCTCTAGCAAATATGGAGTCTTTCATACATTAGCATATTAATTTACATGACACAATTTCAAAGTTTTAGGTAAGTACATATATACAAAGATTGCTACTAGTCTTGGATCCTTTGATTGTACAGACTGATATCTAGTAGCGATTTTCAGAATCAGTTGTGAATCTTTAAAGAAAAATAATTATTTGAAATAAATATGGCCACTGACAATTTCGTTTTACAAATAATGCATCTGCTCAGCTTCTCTCATCTGCCTCAACACTTTTTCGTATAACAGAGCCTTTACTCCGTTCCCCCAAATGTAATCGTAATGGTCAAAAGAAGGACTTTCAACCAAGCTGCAACCGACTGTGTTCGCCAGTTTGCTGCAAAGAATTTGAGCGTCCTTTGGAACTACTAATGTATCAGCAGCGGAGAAATGGATGTAGGACGGTACAGTGACCCTGGACAAATCGTAGTGTGGCGGTGACCACGACCTGTATAAAGCGAAGTTGGTGACTCTGTTGTGGTTGAAGCGTCGGAAGGCGTCGAACTTGATGGTTTGGCCGTAGTGCGCGAACTGACGGATGGAGGCACCAGCGGGCGCGTGACCGGAAAAGATCGGTTGCATGGTCTGGAATAAATAAATAAATGTAACTAACAGCCGCACCAATTAGCCTAAATCCAGAGGTAAGCATGGGCTAGTGTTATCGGATACTAAGGTAACGGATATAATACATATATCCTGATACATATATAAGTAAGTACTTTTCATCATACAAACATTTGCCCCACCGGGATTCGAACCTGGAACCTCTGAGTAGACGACACCTTGAAACCCGGCATACATACTGCCACGGAGTTCGTAAGAATAAATAAAATTATTGTCATTTATCATCAACTTATTTCTGATTCATTGTCTTCTTAATTGTATATTCCGAATTACATAATTAAAGGTGATTTCAGGAATAATCTCATATTGAAATCATTTTTCAATTTTACGTCTCTGTTAAAATACCTCTAATGTTGTAAACTGTGGCACATAACATCACTCAGACCACGAGTTAGATCGAAATTATAACTCGTCTGGGGAGAAACCTTGACAAAGACGCTAGTAAAATTCTGCATCCATCAATAAAAGTAAAAAAGAAGTTTAAGATATAAGGGATAGGGTTGGAAAACACCACTAACGTTGCAGGCGTCTATAGGCTGAAAATTTTAATGTTTTCAGACAAAGATTATTAATAATAGGAAATATTTGAGATTTTGATGAAAGTGGCGCTAAATGTATCCAAAGGACAATGCCAGAAGTTTTATAGAGGTTTGACCCACCTGATAAAATTAGTGTACACGAATGCGATAAATGACAGTTGATAGCTGTAATATTTGGAATCAAAATAGTAAAGTTGTTAATTCTCTAGAAGCTGTGGTTATTGAATAACATACGAACAAAGAGTACAATTATCATACGTTTCTCGAGCTGCAATTTGAGCAGAAAATTGGAATTGCTATAAATTGCTCATAGGTCAACAACATGATAATCAAATCAAACTATATGTTCGATAAATATCTTGATGGCAATGGCATGACATTAATCGAATAATCAAGAATGAATGAATTTTTGATAGGCATATAAACAAAGAAATGATACGATATTTTGATAAAAAAACTCCTTAGCATACAAAATTTTCCACAACTCATATTTTTGCGTTTGGATAACGTTCAGTAACGTCATAGTAGAGTAGCTCAAGCGGGGATTTTGGGATTCTGATTTGGAAATCTTGAGCGCGGAAAAATAACATAAAATAACATAACATAGATGAGCTCGATGGCGCAGGTGGTTAGCGCGTTCGGCTGCGATCATTGAAGTTAAGCAACTTTCGCAGTGGTCGGCAATGGATGGGTGACCAAAAATCTTCTATCTCGAGTTCCTCCGTGCTTCGGAAGGCACGTTAAGCCGTTGGTCCTCGCTGCATCTGCAGTCGTTAGCACCCGCCAAACCGCACTGGGCCCGCGTGATGGGTCATGGCCAATACCTCCCTATTCCATCCATAGGAAAGGCCTGTGCCACAGCAGTGGGCCATTAATAGGCTGATGATGATGATGAACATAACATACCTGAGCACTATATATAGGGCAAACGTCTAGGGTAGCACAAAAAAAACAACAAACGACCATGTCTTATGGTTGCGTCCAAATTGGCAGCCTTTTGAATAGAACTATTGTTGAGTCTATGCACTGTTTCTGATGACGAACGATGAACCCTCCAGTAGCTGCTTTTCAAAGACTGACGAATTGGCCGCCGGCCAAAAGTCCTGATCGATTCTTGAAATTTGTTTGTACTGCCCTATACGTTAGACCCTATATAATGGACTCAGGTATGGTAGGAGTACTTCACAAGGTGCAAGGTTGTTATTCTACCGTGCTCGTGTAAATCCCCAAATCCTCCGCTAATCTAATGTAATCCTCAGCTTGGGCTCCCCTACAATTCGACATGAATTCTGTGCCAAATAAAAACAAGTCTGATGTCCCGCGTGCTTTTCTACTACTAAAATTTCTTTAAAAACTATAGTAAATGTTGCTATGCTGTAAAAAAAAGTTATGTTAGGTTATCCTGTATTCCATCATCGGCCTTTTAATGTCCCCACGCTGGGGCACATGCCTTCCCTATGGATGGAAAAGGGAGATTGAGCCATGACCCACCACGCGGGCCTAGTGCAAATTGATGGGTGCTAACGACTGCAGATGCAGCCGGAACCAACGGCTTAACATGCTTTCCGAAGCACGGAGGAGCGCGAGATAGAAGATTTTTGGTCACCCATCCAATGACCGAACGCTGCGAAAGTTGCTTAACTTCAACGATCGCAGCCGAACACGCTAAACACTTGCGCCATCGAGCTCCTCATTGTTATCGACAAATATTATCTGCGGTACCTTATCAATATTGAAGGTATGTATATAATACACTATACGTTGATTTATACCTACTAGTTGGTGTCGACAACTTTGTTTACGTAAATTATTGTTAATTTTTGCATATTATATTTTTGTTACACAAATTACAAAAAAAAAGTATGTGCGTCTCGGGACGAACGACTGAAATGATAACTTAAATTTATCTAAATGAGAGAGGACTAACCTGCCTACAGCTTCCGTATGCATGGGAGAAAGGGAAGCCAGATAGATTGGCGCCGTAACGCGTTACGTAACGAAGAAGGTTACGCTCCCATAAAAGTCCCCACTGCTGGGGCACAGGCCTTCCCTATGGAATAGGGAGATTGGGCCGTGATCCACCACGCGGGCCCAGTGCGGATTGGTGGGTGCTCACGACTGCAAATGCAGCCGGGACCAACGGCTTAACATGCCTTCCAAGCACAGAGGAGCTCGAGATAGTAAATTTTTGGTCACCCATCCAATGACCGACCACTGCGAAAGTTGCTTAACTTCAACGATCGCAGCCAAACGCGTTAGCCACCTGCGCCATCGAGCTCCTCACAAGTTATCACTTATAAGTATACAAGTGAAACTTTTAAAGTATTTTACATCGCCTCAATCTTTTTATCAGTTGTTAGTTGATGATACCCTGCCTTATAAAAAGAAAGTATAAAATGAAAAAAAGACCTTTCTTGACTAGAAATCAAACTTAGGCGAGATTTGTACCACTAAATCACCGATGCTTGTTCATAATGGTGATTCAGGCGTTTAGGCCTGAAAGCTAATAGACAGACAGAAAAAGTACTTAGCTTTCGGATTTATATAATACTAGCTGACCCAGCGAACTTCGTACCGCCATAAGAAAACAGGGGTTGGTGGTTGAACAGTGAAAATTTAGGGTTGTATGTATTTTTGTACGATGTATCATAAAAAAAATCTAAAATTGCAAAGAAAAAAATTTAGGTGTGGTTATATTACCCTTAACATTTAGGGGGATGAAAAATAGATGTTATTCGATTCTCAGACCTACCCAATATGCACACAAAATTTCATGAGAATCGGGAAAGCCGTTTCGGAGGAGTTTAACCACAAACACCGCGACACGAGAATTTTATATATAAGATAAACTCCTGCAGTGCTAATATGTAAAGGAACAAAATTTTCGCGCGCGGATCAGTATCGGATCCACTATGGTCTTTACAGAATAGCACTGCTGTCGTTTCAAAATGATTTTGCGTCGTTTCCTAATTGTTATCCTTTGGCACTTTCAACTTAGACATACTTATTACAATAATGATTTCCCCAGACGTGTTCTCCGGGTATTCCATACATTCCTTAAAAAAATTACCTCATTGTAGTGATCAGAGCGTCCACTGATCACCATTGAATTGCAGAATGTCTGGAGAATGGAGCCTTCTCCGCAGTGATTGTTTGTGAGCCAAGTGACAAAATCACGAGTGCCGAACACCTCACCCATGCCCAAAGCGAAAGCAGCTGGCTGAAAACGAAATCAAAACACGAAATCAAAATAAATTCTGAACAATTAATTTTGTCCCAATCTAAGTACAGTTCCTAGCCTGTAGTGTTTTTTTATAAATTACATAGTTTTTTTTAGTCCTGTGATATATTTGAAAAAGTATGAAGGTAGTAGTATACCTAGTGGTATAGTTACTTAGACACACAAATCACAACTCAATGAACTGGATCAACAACACTCAGGACAGTATATATACTTTAATTATATTAAATAATTTGATGAATTCTTTTTGCACTACCGTCCTACAATTTTTGCTATAATTCTCCGATAGACTGGTAGAGAATGCCTAATGGCATTAAGTCCGCCACTTGTACACTCATTTGTGCAATAAAGTATAAATAAATATATCCAACACAAAATGAATGACATCAAAATTCATACCTCCAGAACATTCTCGTGAGGAGCCAAAGAGTTGATCGTCGGCTGGTCGTTGTTAGTGAAGAACGAGGCAGGAGCCAATCCTTGGAACGAGACGAACTTCCTATTATACTCCGGCCGCAAGGAGTTGAGCACCAAGAAGGCAGTACCACCCTGAGAGTGCCCGATATAATGGAGCTGGGACTGTCCAGTTGTAGCCAGTATATAGTCAATGAAAGCCGGCAAGTCATGGTTTCCGATCTCATCCCAGCTGAACTTCCAGAAGTTTTGGTTGATTCTGCTGTTGGGGTTGAGGCGATTATGCCGGCGGGAGTAGAAGTTGCCACGGGCGTTGCCCAACCATACATCGTAGCCTTCTTCGGCAAGGTAATACCCTGAGAAAGCGTTAATATATGCGATTATCACAAAGAGATATTTTTTTCATTGAGCATTATGCCGCTGAACCGTTGTTTGAAATCTCTATTGTTCTTTTAGGTAAACGATAAGAAATCTTGCTAAAAAGAACATTTGGTTCATGGATTCTTTCAACACATTGATTGAAATTCGTCCTGTAATTTATGATCAGAATATATTAGGTATATGAGATCTAGCTATAGCCGCGGCCATTCTAATCATTACAAATAAATTTTCAGTTACGAATGTGTAAGTGGTTTCACAAAAATAAAGTAACTTAAAAACGGCTCCTGCTATCTCAGAAAATAATATCTCTTTTAGATTTTGACAACACGTATCGTGAGTCGCGAATAAATGAGTTGCTGTATCCCCATTAATCTGGTACGATAAAATTTGGTGTGAAACAAAAGCAAATCAATTTAAGATCATGGGTACTGAAATATCCACAAACCTAGATTAATAACGCTACCTTTTGGCTGTGTTGTGTTTGTGTCGATGAGTAACGTTTTATGGTTTCACGGGGCAAATGATATAGGGCAGGGCAGGCAACAGCGTGAGTGATACTCTGTTATCGCAATCGTCTTTGCACTAAGGCGGCAAATTACAACCAGGCTGACCATATACACGAAAAATTCATTAAAACAGTGACGTGGTCAAAACAAGGTTAGCAAACTTTGTCACAAGGTGGGAAACGGGACTAACGATAACGGCAATATAGCTCTAGCGTCTTTCGACCGCGAGCGCTACAATTCTAGCTCTGGCCCATGTATCACATAGTGCAGCCTCTCCCAAAGTGGGCGATATAGCCCCCTTGTGGGCGCTGCATTCCTAAAGGCGGGCTGTAAGAGACCAAGAAAAAAGGAGGCGTTGTGAAGAAGCTTGCGGGGTGATTTGTAATTTCATCTAGGAGGAGTGAATTTAATTTGAAGTTATAGTGGTAAGTAGGTAAAATGGGAGTGCTGAAAAATATTTTTTTCTTAAAGTGGGCAGTAGACAAAATTTATTTTGGGAACCCCTGATATTGGGGAATGTAGCTTGTGTTAATCAGGGGTATGCAGCAGCTCTTTAGGTCGTAAAAAATTCTGTATCTCTTCTGGCACTTTAACGACAAAAAGTAACACCCATATTCGGAATTTATTGATTTACTTTATTCGTCCGTGTTTGGGTCACAGACATACATGTATGTACCAAATTTCAACTTGATCGGTTTAGTAGATTCCGAGAAAATCTACTTAAATAGACAGACAGACAAGCGAGTGATCCTATAAGGGTTCCGTTTTTGCCGCTTGAAGTGCGGAACCTAAAAACGAAATGAAAAAAAAAACTGAATGTGGGTTCGTATATAAATATTATTCCAAAAATTAATCATGATCTACATCGCCGTTCTATCTTGATTTTTTCCGTGGATCAGAAATGTTCTATCCTATCAAATATAAAAAATATAAATATTTAGATGTCTATTACTCATTAAGTGTTAAATCGTGTAGCCTTCGTGTTCCAGTGAGTTCATGTGGCATTTTGTCGGTTTTTATCTGTACAGTCACTTTGTGATTCAACGTCTTCGTTTGTTTAAGTTATTTTATCAATATTTATAAATATTCTATGAAATCGTAAACATTAATCTCAAGGTCGAGTGTTGATTGAGGGCACGTCAATAGAAACAGTTTCAACCACGCCTTTGTAAAGTAACACAAAAAAGAACTGAAATATTAGTCAGTAGAAGAAATAATAAGTTAAGGGTAAATACCAAACGCAGCGACGACAAAATAAGAGTAAGTATTTTATATTGAGAATTAGCATACAGTGCATGTAATATTAAGATTGAAATATCATACAACACTTGAGGGAATCTTATATTACGATGGGAAAGTTAGTAGCTTCACAACATTTCCAAAACAAAACGCAAGCCAAGCGTGCGTAACGAGCATTAATTTCTACTCTACCGCTAAAGCTATCTTTATGACTGAAATCCGCTTACACCTAACATCAAATAATTCCTTAGCCTTCTACTATCAAATATGTGTTACCAGAAATCGTATGGCCCAGAATTGCTGAATATGCTCAAACTATTTATTATTAGCATATAGCCTAGGATTCTCAAGCGAATTTGACATTCTTTTCATCTCACCTAAGGCGCTTCCAGGTCCAAGCACTAGGAAGTCAGCGGAGGATGACAAGAGACCATGCATCAGGAAGACCACAGGCCTGACACCAGGCGCGTTGTTCGCATCCCTTCCATGTGGGATACGGTGCATCGTCAGAATGTATCCATCGGAAGTGATGACTTCGTGGCTCTCAATCGGGTACCCATATTTAGTGACCAAGCCAGGCTGAGAACAGAAATAATAATAATAGATATTCTTTATTGCACACAACAAAAGACACAAGAGTACAATAGGCGGCCTTATTGCTAAACAGCAATCTCTTCCAGGCAACCTATGGCAGAAAAGGAATAATAATAGAGAAATATAGAAGGGTGCAAAAATAGATACAGGAGCTATACTTACATAAATGTAATAGAAATAGAATATTACAAAGGAGGAGCTGGCGAACAAAACGGTATAATTAAATAAAAATAAATTTCACAGGAGCTGTATAAAACTGAATGACATACCTACAATGAGCTTTTGGCCTGGTTTTTAATTTATAAATTTAGTAATTTTAACACTGTTTAAGGCGGTTTTGATTGAACATTATTGAAATTCAACGGGCCCGAAACCTCTAGACTGTAAAAAAATGTAGTTTGACGTATGAGATGCGTGCGATGCAGATGCGTAATTTTACCGTTTTGTTTGCCAGCTCCTCAAATATTATAAAAAGCCGAAATAGACGCTGGGCTGGAAAATCCATAGACAGACTAAGAGGGAGATGCTGAAGGGCTATTATTTTCAGCGAAATATAGCTCAATGGATGTATTTGTTAATAATTATGATTGCTAAATTTCACAGAAAATATTTAGTAGTCCCAAGCTAAGTAGAACTTATACTGTATAAAGTAAAGAAACGTAAAAAATACATATGAATTAGTATGTTAACAAAATCAACTATGACTCAGGAACAAATGTTATTTTTATTCATAACACAAATAAACGCACCCACTGAGATTCTAACCTGATTTGAAGCAAAAGACATGAGAGCTATCGTTGGCCCAAGGGCACTCTAAAATCATTTATCTAACAAAGATTGTTGTTAACTTTTGTCATTTGATTGTTTAAATTTTACAAATCAGACACATGGTTTAAAATTTAATCCTTTCATTGCGAACTACTTATTTTGTGTTTTTGAGGTAAACCTCTGATGACCTCTTACCGTGACCTCATACCTAAGAGTTTTTTTCTAATTGTAATAAACAATAATGCATAATAAAAAACATATATGAGACACCAGGCCGTGCAAAGGACCAGCACCGTAATAGGTAAAATAAAAATAAATAAATACACTTTTTACCTGTTAGTGTTTTATTTAAAATATTAAAGCTTACCACATCCAATTTGGCGTCCTCTAGAACATCAAAAGGATATTCAGAAGCTCCATAGTTCCGTTCTATGTGATCAGCATTGGGAGATCTTCCTGCAACCGTTACTCCAACCAAAACACTCAACAATAATAAGCGGAGCATTTTGGACGCAATACCAAAAGGTACTGTATACAAGGGATGAGCGACCACATCTTTTGTAATGTTCCGAAGCCCAGTCACACAACTTTGTGATAGCAGCAGTTTAAAATGGTTACTTCTTTTCATAGACTATTGTTTTCGTGATCAGTATTCTATCACTGTTTTGCAAGTAATTTTAGTGCACTGTAAAATTGTGAAGTTCAATTTATTAAAAAAAAATACGTAAAAGGAGTATTTATTAATTGAACAGAAAAAAATGGTGTCACTGAAAATATGCATGAATTTGATAAAAGGACGAAGTTAATTGGTTTGAACAAGTTAATTATTTTTAACTCGTCGTCAATTTGTTGTAACCGGGCTTTATCAGGACAGATTAGGAAGTCGTATATCTTAATGATAAACTTTAGTGTGTGAAATTAATGGTTTATCCTTGACTATTTTACTTTCATGTATTTTTAAATAACAGCGAAGACATTAATACCGTAAAATGGAGTCACATTGATAAATTTCAAAAATTTAAAGACTTATAAACTCGTTATAATTAAATATGATTGCAGAAAACATGAAAAAATGCTGGAGACGAGCCTGAAAAATATAACACTTATGATTTGGGATAAAATAAATATTTAGTGGGCTATCAATCCTATAGACTTGAGGCCACTTTAATTGGCCCCGTTATTTTTTATTGGATATGAAAGTACAGTATATTTACAGCAGACAAAACCAAAATAAAAAATGAAGTCAGGATTTTAACTATAACATGGCGTATGTTTGAAAACGGGGGTGTATTCGATAGTGGTTTAAAAGTGAAAATGTTACTACCTACCTAATATAAGTACTTTCCAGATTGCCATAGAGAATAGTATTTTTACAAGTCCTCCTAATAAATGCATTAAATATTATTTTGATATTAGAATTCTGTTCTCAGAGATTGACTGATGGTAGCGTCACACCGCCCTGCCGATGCTGGATGGAGTTTCAAAGGAATTGAGGGGTCGCTCAGCGGATAGAGTATAGTGCCTGAAATGCTCAATGTGACTGCTACAATAATGCCTAACACGTCATTTTGACCAAAAAGTAGAAACCTACCCATGAATAGGGTTGGGCGTTTTTAGAATAACGATGCGCAATAACGATGCCAGGTTCGGATGCGCGCATCCGATGCGACTGGATGCCGTTATTGGATGCCGATGCCATCTAGTTTTTGTCAACGTTACCATAGCAACAGTGCCACAAACTTCTGTGCCGGTGGAGATGTCGCTAGCGGTGAACAAATATGTCATAAAAATGTCAAAATACTACGGATAAATTGTAGTTCAAATTTTTGCCACCGGCACAGAAAAGTTTGTGGCACTGTTGCTATAGTAACGATGACACAAACTAGATGGCATCGGCATCCAATAACGGCATCAAGTCGTATCGGATGCGCGCATCCGAACCTGGCATCCTGCCTGCGTTCAAAACCTACGCTCTGAGTGAATTTTTTTATGTAATAATTTTGCCAGCATTCAATCTTTCCAGATAACATACCGAAAAGTAAATAAATGGTTTTCGATTACATTTTCAAGTCCTGATTCAAGGAATCGAAGAGACAGACCCACACAAAACACGCATCTGTAGAAATTCATATTGCATCGTATCCGATATATGTGATACAAGATATCGACATTCAGTTGACATCTATGCGATGCCGGCATCCGATGCCAAATATCTGATACCGATGCGCATCGATTTCAAAAATATCTAAAAACGCGCATCTCTACAAGATATCGACATTCAGTTGACATCTATGCGATGCCGGCATCGATGCGGGCATCCGATGCCAAATATCTGATACCGAAGCGCATCGATTTCAAAAATATCTAAAAACGCCCATCTCTACCCATGAATAGGTAATTCATGGGTAGGACATTGTAATTGCCCAAATGTTATTTCGTCTATTAATCGAAATGTCTAAAATGCTCTGTCTCTTTGATGCCTTCTGCGCAAGTTTGTTTGGAAACTCTTGTTGTAAATGGTTGTTATAATTCGTTACTAGCACTTGAAAATTATAAGTACTATTTTGTCCCCATGCTCAGGTTTAAAGAATATTTATGTATTTAAGGAGCGTTTAAGGGCATTTTTTTATTTTTAAGGAATAGAAGATTTGTTTTTTTGTTTTAAGAATACAGTTTTTTTTTTAATATTTAAAGGTCAGCAAACATCATAGTCGTGATACATTGTAGGCAATCTTCTTCTTGGTCAATTAGCGTTTTAGATATAGAATAGTGGCATCTTTCACTCCAGGCAGTCTGATTTTTAGTCAAAATGACGTGTAAGGCATTATATTAGCAGTGACATCTTGCGTTTCAGGCACTATGCTCATAACCGGCTCATAGTCCTTAATAGCTAAATATTGCAGCTGTTTTTACTCCTCCGTCTTCTGTAAAATATGCCGCAGAATGTATGTGGTCTACTCGTGTACCGACTGCTGATCATTAGAAACCAGCTCGTTCAAGAAGCTGGAAGGTATCTGTCCTAAAACGTCCTAATTACGATTGAATAGGTGCAATTGTTTTTTTATAGATGATACCGACAAATGACTCCACCCCACCTGATCTTAAGTGAAGGTGAAGTCCAGACGTGAAGATAGCTGATACAGCAGTACCACCTGCCACACCAGCCATCCTCACCCTGCTGGCCTGCATGTTACTTCTTCACTCGATTCCTAAACAAAATTTAGTCACCCTTTTTTAAAGAACAGCATTGCACTCTCGCATCATATTTTCAGTGCCTTAATTTGTTTTGTTATTTGAAGGCATCACATATCCTCCATAAATCAATGAGCACGGGTCTTTCATCAGTCTGCCGAAACCACCATAGCCAATAGACCTTGGAATACAAAAAATATCACTCGTGCCTTGCCTATCCTGTCAGAATCTCCTACCCCGTTGAGCCCTGGAATCTATATGACGTCCTCAACGGTAAAAGGTAACACCTTCGCTCACATCGAGTATGTGATGTAAGACTATTGTGATGACACAGTTAAGCCAGGTCGCAACCCCTTGTATCGGGAATAACTGTATAGGGGAAACTGCCCAATCATTGGCACTCTTCCTATTATTGGCACTTTTGAGTTTAGTTCGAAAAAAACAGGAAACAATAGATTGTAGGAATAATGCTGCGAATTTTCAAATTTCAAAACCATGCTAGGTTTTTCTTTTTAATACGTAACGACCGTGAATAATCTATTGTCTCCTTGTTTTTTTCGAATTAAACTCAAAGTGCCAATTATAGGACGAGTGCCAATGATTGGGTGGTTTCCCCTATATCCCCGAGACATTAGTTCAACCTCTATGCCGACGACACGTCTAATCTTTGAGTCTTTGACCCATCACACTCAAACGTGAACCACTAGACGCAAGCCATATTGTGCGCCATTAAATGTGATAGAGTAATCCTAAGTAATCCTCCTGGGTGAAGGCTAAATACGCTGTCAATTTCCAGAGTATAAAATGGAAGGGCGTGATGGCCTCTTTCGCATCTGGTTTGTGTCCACGTGGATCTAGGGCTTAGGGTATGTGCATACTACGTTTTTTAAAAGCAACTTTGACGCATTTTTGTAGCGGTACAGACGCGATACAGTATACACATACGAGTCAGATGCAGCCTGTTGACTTTTGCACACCTGTTTATATTCTAACACGCGTTTGACAACAACAAACTGCACTGTAGAAAAAAATATGCTTTTTATTTATTTTTAACCATTTAACTGCTAGATGTTTAAATGTAAAGAAAAGTTTACTAGAAAAAAATCCAAGATCCAAGATTTTTTTTTCTAGTAAACTTTTCTTTAGAATAAAGAATATGCTGTCAATGCACATTTCTAAAACACGTGTAAACAACGTGGTGTGTACAGGCTCTTAGAGTTCAATATTGTCTCCACGTCCATCAAATATCTATTCAAACTAAAGTTACATTCGATACTTGCATGGTGGATGCACCTAAACCATTTCTATCCCTTTTTTTCTTTTTTTATTCGTAAGTTCCCACTAGTCCTACTGAGCAGTCCTACGGTAGAACAACTAATTGTATACATTTTGCGAATACTGATATGTCTATCATATCAGTGCTGTTAAATGTCTGCATTGAAATCAATAAAAGAATTAATGTTATAAATATAAATACATAATAAACACTTTTATATCAAGTAATCCGCATTTGTTTTGTTAAGAGGCTATTTTTACAGATGTATCATAAAACTTCTAATTATGCTAGAAATGGTGATTCATACAGATTCCATAATAGACTTTTGTAAATATTTTTATTTTGCTCGTAGTAGGTAAGTCGAAGTTGAATAGTTTTATACTACATCATGGGAATGTAAATTACTAAAAAAAATAATGCATATTCCCTGTGTAACGAATTATTTTATGTAAATGTCCCTACTTCATAAAACCTGAAACGTTTCTTTCGCCTGTTCTTCTTGTCAGCTAAAACATGTTCAGTACCCCTAGCACGAACCAATATCGTATTCGAATGGTTTACGAATCTGTATGAAAACTTGTACTGAATTTAGTTCACGACGTACTTTGTGCCGCTGCTGTTCAAGTTTCCATACAAAATTTGACATTGACATTTCGGTTTGCAAACTATTCGAATTCGATAATGGTTCGTGTTAGGGGTACAGTACCCTTAGCACGAACCAACATGGAAATCGAATAGTTTGCGAGTCCGGAATGTCATTGTCAAATTTGCAGCAGCGCCCATAAGGGACGTAAATAGAACTAAAATTTTTGGGACTCGCAAATAATTCAAATTCGATAATGGTTTGTGCCTTAGCACAAACCCTTAGGTTCTGAAGAGGTGGTATGGAAAAAAGGACAACTCGAAAAAACTTTAAATAAATCAACTCGAATACAGTGTATTTTCATTTCATACGCAACAGTTTTTTTCTGTTCGTGTAATTTGTAGTCGCTTAAACCTTCTTCTTCTTGCAACGGGCGTTGGCTTGGCTGGAGTGATTACGGCTGTGTAGCCAGCCCAGCTCCGTCAGGAACGCCCCCAGGGCTTTCACATTGGTGACTGCCTCTTGGAGATTTCCCGATGAGCCGAAGTATTTCGCCCGTTATTTGGCCACTTCGTTGCATTCCAGCAGAAGGTGAGTAGCTGTTTCTTCTTCCTCCATGCAGCCTCTGTATAGGGGGCTATCTGTGACACCCAAGTTGAAAAGATGTCTGTTAAAATGGGCATGTCCGGTAAAAGCACCTGTTACCATGCGCAATGTAGGTTTGCTTAGCTGTAGGAGAGTCTTGGAGAGGGCAGTGTTTACCCGTGGCAAAGCGCCTGCTTGGTCTGCCTGCACGTCTCCAGATCGAGCCAGTGTTGCTGGTGTAATGCAGCTGTGTGCTCGCGGATTTTATTGACGAAGCAGCTTACCGGTACCAGGAAGATTGTTTCGGGACCTGTCGGGGTCGTATAGGATCCCTTCCGGGCCAGCTCATCCGCCGCGTCGTTTCCGCGTGATCCGCTGTGTCCATTGATCCATTGGATAGTAATATAATTGCTTGACCCTACCGTGTTTAAGGTTCGGTGGCATTCATGTGTAGCAATTAAATTTAATAACGTTAAAACATAGCAATATAATTCTTAAATATTAAGTCGTAGAAATATTATTATTTATTCAGCGCCATCTATCATCATGCATATAAATTATTCAATATCGTAGTCCACTTTGAAAAGCAACGGACAAGTACAATATATGTGTGAACCTAGTAGTTGCATTTGGAATGTAAGTTAGATGGAGCTAGTGTGTAATTTTTTAAATGAGATGCAAAATTGGATGTGACGTCACATTAATGTTCTGGAAACAGTGAGAGGCGGAGTCAGCAAAACCGGTCCGTTTGATTCCTCACACCAAATATGGTGATATGAGAGAAATTTGCAATGACGCTGTCACGTGTTGTAGTAGCCTATAAATAGCAGTGCACAACCAAATTCGGTCTCTTTTGGCTGATAGAACCTTGAAGACCATACTTAGAAAATAGCATTAAGACTAGCAGTGGTAGTCAGTGCATTATTTACTTGATATTTCTCCCCGGATTAACGGGTAAGTTCAATACATTTGATTCGTTAGGCTGTAGGTCCAGTTAGTTTTTTTTATTGAATTATAGAAAAATGTGTAATTGGTTCTAGGTCCATTAATTTGGCTAATTAATAACAGTAATAATCACAATTACTTGATCCTGATTGGAATCTCCTTGGAAATATATATATATATGAGCCTGTGAAGCTTTCTTGAGCAAAAAGTGACGGGTTCACGTGATGACAGCAAGTCCTGCTTCATCCCTGAGGACATTTGAGTCATCCTGATGCTCCCATGATCTTGCCAAGCTAAGTAAAACTTATAACTTCTTGATATTTAACCAGTGCATACTCCGGAGAACAATTTCTGTTTAACGTGATAAAGGATTTGTATTGGTAAACTGTAAAGCCATTATAAAAACATAACAAATTTTTATTGTTAAATTTCCAAAACTTAATATTTTATAACTTGTTTAATAATTTGTTTATATAAGAAACTTAAATTGAGTATTACTGTATTAGCACATGATCTTGAATGTATGAATATCTTTAAATCAAAAGAAAAATCTTTGAGGAAATATAGCTATGTATTTATTAAGTTGAATGTGACTAGTATTAAGTTTTAACCATGATGAAATAAGATCTGAATCTTTTTTTTTGACAATATAATATCTTGTTCACTGCGGTTTTAGACATTTTCATTTATCTCCCTCAAATTACAGTATCACGGCGCCCTGATTATAAATTAAATAAGTTTCGAGTCTCATGTAAGCCCTGAAATAGCCGGTGATAACAAAAATTGTTACAAAATGGCGACCAACTTTAGGGCCGAGCAATAAAATACTGTATTTGAGGGAAATACTGGTGTGCTCATATGATGATAAAAAGATTGGTGGAAAAATTTAATGCTTAAAATCCCCAATCAGTCTGAATAGCACATTAGAAGTAAATTACTTAATAACTTAGAAAACTTTAATAAACAATACTCTTGGAATACTAGTGTGTCTAAATGATGATAAAA